AACCATCGCTGTTTCCGAGCATTTTGTTCCCTGAATATCCCAGTCGTCCCTGATAACCCTAGTCTTTCCCAGCTCCCCGTCGTTCCCCGTTCCCCAGCTGGCCCCCAGTCCTCCCCTCCTGTTCAAAGCAAAAAAATTATTATCAATTAACATCAATTATTATGGTGAGTATAATATTTTGTAATGGCACTCATGGTTTTTGTGCCTTCAAGCCATGGTAAGAGTAGTAATGAATAAGTTGCATCTCAGACTTTTTGCCACAGGAAAGAGAAAGCTACACACTTTATATCATTGTGTCTTTATCGACCAATGAAAAAATACCTTAAATAATTCCTTTTGAAATGGATACTTACTCTGTATAAAATACAGTAGGCCTATATCCTTTTACAATTTACAGTATTAGGTAAGACATTTTTATACCTTGTTTCGCAAACTTATTTTTTTATAGATTTTCAAATTAGGGCGGAAAAAAAAAAAAATAAAACTTAGCTTTCTTATTTAGCAAATGCCTTTGCTAAAAACATCACGACTAAGGAGAAAATAAAAATAAAATTTTATTGGTGAATGTAAACAGTGTAGTAATGGGGATGGTTATATGCATTAAATTTATATAATTAGGAAGCTATAAAGTTAAACTTGCCTTAGTCGACTTTGCTTAATACCCGATTCACACGTGAAGTTAAATTTAACAAAAAGTAACAAATTGTAACCGAGCGATCTCCCGAGTTATTCCTACCGAGATAAAAAGCATTCACACGCGTCTGTAAGGTAATGCCATGGTCGTGTAAAATTTATTCAGTGTTTATTCAATGAACCATTTTTTCCCCTACTGCAATATAGGTCTAGCCTAGGCCTAGTTGAGAACCCCTGTCACAGATGGACTGTTGAACTCACCATCACAGTAAACATTCGAAGCAATCAATGCCCTTAACAACTGCTGTACTACTAGGCCTACTACTAAACTAGGCATAGCTTCTAACGTTTCTGTCGACTCTTGATAATACTAGTAATAGTACTAACACCATCCCAACGTTCATTTTATGTATATCTTCTTCTTCTACCATTACTAATTAACATCAATAACAAGGGTAATTCATTCATCATTGAGAAAAACTATGCCTATCTATTCCTAATGGATCAGAATCGTCTGCAGAAGGAAGAAAATTCAAAGAACCCAGTGAAATAAAGTAGATTGTTGTTGTGTTGAAATACCTGCGCATTGCGCAGATCCATCCATGCTACATCTCGGAAGCTTTACCAGCCTCAGCGAGGCTGGTAAAGATTACCGAGACGTTCCAAGATTTTACAAGGATATTACACAGAGGTACTTTCACACGTGCCGTAAAATGTTACTTTTGGTTACATTTTGTTGCATTTGGTAGGATTTTTGTACGTGTGAATCGGGTATAAGTTGAATAATTTCTAAGTCGATCTTATTTTACATGGCAAATTGTTGTATTTTCCATTAATTAACAATCTGTAAGTCGAGTTTTATCTGAGTTGAACAATTTTTCAATGGCATTTTGGATTCAACTTATGCAAGTTTAACTGTTCTATTTTTGGAGATTTCAAGGCAATGGTGGGCGTAATAAATGTAAATGAAAACATTTTTTTCTGAAATTTCCATTTTTCATGGCTAATTTTCCAAAAATAAAATTTAATTTTTATTCTAAATCATCATTACTGGCTGGTGACGGGTTTGCTAAACAAGGTATTAAAAAGTGTCTCGCCATTAATTAGTTAAATTTTAACATCATAGTACCAGTGTCATAACTGACACTAAAGTTGTATATATTATTTTATGCAGTTTTTGAATAAATTGATATAATACCTATATTTGAAAAAAAAAAAAAAACTGAAAAAAAGAATAATATATTTAACTTTGATGATCATATCATTCAATGATTCATATCTTAGTACTGTAGTTTCTTGAGTATAAGCCCACCTTTTTTTTTTATCAGTACAGAATTCTACACAGGGTGTTTTTTTATCAGTACAGAATTCTACACAGGGTGTCTAAGATGAGTTGAGATGAATACAAAAAAAATTGAAAATGTTTTTGACTGCTGATATCAAGATGGAGAAAGAATTTTCCACCTCTAGAATGAGAAAGAAAAAAGACAATTGTTAATCTTCAGGCAAAAAAAACCATGAAAATGGTAATTAATTAGAGGGAGACCTGTTTTTGTAATGCCTACGCTAGACAAAATAATTCCAGCATTTTCATTTTATGGTCCTTAACTATAAGACAACTTTTCTAAACACAATTACCTTTTTAACAAGGTATTTTATGGGGGATATTTAACCCACTCAATCACAAGTTAAGTGTGGACATCATCATCTAGCAGGTAAATCATATTGTTTTAGAGTAACAGGTCATTTAAGGGTCATCTTGAGATCACTAGGTTGGAGAGATGTGAATCTCGGATCATAATCTGGCCAGTCATTGGGATACAGCTTAGAAGCCTGCGTGCCCATCTGATCTAGTAGTTTACGGTTTATTTCCCTACATCTGTAAGAAAAACAAAGAATAAAACTTGTAATTAAAACCTATTTTATTTATTATTTAATGAACATAATTCAGATATAGTAAAATTGTAAAATAATTACTATAATAGTAATACAGTGCATTTACAATTAATCAACAAGGGTTTGTATATAGCGCCAATATTCAGGGCATAATACAACGTTCAGTGTCGCTATGACAATGGTATTGTACTCAAAGTGCACTTTATCTACTGAGGTTAATTAACAACACTATACATTATTGTAAGTAATTGTAAGGATTATACATGAATGTCTGAAAAAGACTTATTTCCAGTGGGGTCATTTTATTGGTGATTGGGCAGTAGACCAGGAGACAATCCCTACTCTTTTCTGAAGAATGTACTGTGTTCTTTAACTTTCACATGGGCCATAAACGTCTTAAAAGTCTCATCCGAAACATGGTGCGCCATCGTAACTTGCATTTCAGCCCTCCAGCTGAAACACAAGGAGAGGCAGCAATGGGAATTGAACTAGAGACCTAGAAATCTCCACGGTTCATCGCACACACAATGGCTGCCACCAGTTTAGCTGACTGAGCTACGCTGCTCTCTAAATACTTACCTATTACCAGTAAGACGTAGTAGAAAGTTCCAATAGGAAGGTCGAATATTCTGAGGTTCCATTACAGTCTGTAAAGTAAAAAGAAATCACATTATTACAAAAAAAAGTGTCTTATATTATATTCTAAAAACCATATTTCCTGTTAGTGTAGGCTAGTTTAAGCACCAAGAGAATTGCTGTGTACCGTACTCGCGCGAATAAGCGCCCGAGCGCTTAAAATATTTTTTGCACTTTCTGAGGGGCGCTTATTCAAACGGGGCGCTTATTCAAACAGGGCGCTTATAAAAACAGAGTGGAAATTGAGGGGGCGCTTATGGAGATAGATGAAAATCGAGGGGTTTTCTAATGGGAAATTATTAAATTCAAGAGGCACTTTTATCATATAAAGACAATTCGATTGGTGGTTAGGTGGAAAAGATAATTGTCCAGAGAACATGTCTCATGACAAGAATGCTGTGAATATTTACATAACAGCAAAATAGCAGATGCAATTAGTGGTGGTGGGTAGTGGCTTGTTGGCCATCGGCCGATTGAGATTAGCAGGATGGCAGGATCATTGTATTTTTTCTTGAAAACTCAGATGAGAATGTGCTAAAAGTCGGTAAAAGAAAAAGAGGAGTAGAAACTAGGAATAGACAAATATGTTAAAAGAGTACAGTTGGAAATATACTGTCTGTCCAGGGATTGGAGCTCTCATCTCTCCAAGAGAAATATCCTCATTTTTATATTGACCGAGAAGAATGTGATTCCACTCTGCAGCTCAAATCATGCCAACAACCACAGTCCTTGGATTGATTGGATTATTGACTTGCTAAAAAGAAAATCTTATGATATTATTGAGGGGGCACTTATTCAAATTGGAAGGGGCACTTGTTCAAACGGGGCGCTTAAGGAAATGTTCACGTTATTTGACGCGCTTATTTGAGAGGGGCGCTTATTAGCGCGAGTACGGTAATTCAAAAAAACTGAATGGCCTTTACGACTGTTGGTGAAATGGATGATTAACAAGTGAGCTAAACAAAATGCACTTGGCAATACCTTGCGTATATTTAACTTAGAAATCTAATTAAGAAATATGAACCTTGTAAAGCTGGTCTCAGATCCTCCATGGATGATAACATGCTTTAGATTCCATGCACAATTACTGCCACTGGTGATAGATTTATTAAATGCGGACCCAAATTATGGAACACTCTGCCTATCACAATTCATCAATCACCCAATCTAGTTTCAAAGCACATCCGCAACCTTAATCTGTTTTTGTTTGTCCTGGTAATATCCATGAAGGATCAAGTGCATTTCTCTTTGTTTTGATTAGTTCGTTGTGCTTGGGGTTTTGTCTTTTAAATGTGATTTTGATGTTTAGAATGTATATATAGGCTTATGTCATTATGTCAAAGCGTTATTTAAATAGCGATTATGCGATTATGTTATCAAAAGGAACCATTATTTACTTCAACATTTTTTTTAGGAAATAAAGGCTCCTTCAGCTTCTAGAGTGTTTGTTCTCAGAACTTGACTACAATTGTACAATGGATGAGGCTATTATTCAATACTATAAGTCAAACATGACATTTTAGCTCAGTTGACTAATCTGGTGGTAGCCACTGTGTGTGTGCGCTGAAACGTGGAGATCTCTAGGTCCCCGGTTCAATTAATATCGCTGCCTCTCTGTGTTTCAGCTGGAGGGCTGAAATACAAGTTACAATAGCGCAACGCCTTTCGGATGAGAAGTTTAAGCCGTTGGTCATGTGTGCATTTGTGGCCCATGGGCATGTTAAAGAACGCAGTACACTCTTCGGAAAAGAGTAGGGGATTGTCTCCCGGCGTACTGCCCAATCATTTTTGGTTACATTACTGCATTAAAAAAAGTCTCTCAGGCCTTGTAAGCCCTTAGGAAATTTTTCCATGCATTAATCTAACATTCGTATAATTATTTCTACTAGTGTATGATTCGCAGTTACGGTACACTAATTGCTTATTATTGGAGATATAAAGGAAAAGTAAATTCCAACTTACTGCATGAAGGACAAGTGAAGTTGAGAGTGCATACAATATTGTGTTTCCATGTGGGATTGTGGGTAGGTAGCCACATTTAACACAATTATCATAAAGATTCTAAAGAAAAAAACAAACAATTAAAAAAAACTAATTAATATTATAAATCATTTCTTTCTCAACAGAGTGAATCACACTCACAATAATTATAAAAATAAAATTTATAATTAACCCTTTTGTGTTGAAATAATAAATTTAAAGAATAATATTAAATAGGTGTATGTCCTTCAGACACATGCGTTGTCACACAAGTGCATGTGTTTGTAGTGCATGTGTTTTTAGTGCATGTGTTTGTGTATGCTATCAGTGGATTTCTCATCAATTTATAATCAGGCGATACTGGGGATTGAGGGACAACTTGATTTCCTACTCTACGAGATATCCATTTGTAGAAGCCTTTATGAAGAAAGCCTACCTAAAGTGGCCTAGATTGGCACAAGGCCAGTTAACCCCGGCTTTGAACATTGATTGATTTTTGTTAAATAGAGTATAAAATGCACACAATGTATTACGAGAAATCCTAGCAACAATATAAAGCAGAATTAAGGTCCATTATGCTAGCTATACAGAAGTGAATCCACTGTGTCTGTGTGAAGCCTCATTTACACTAGACACGATTACGACACGACGACATGATACAGATGCGCGCAGTGTTGAAGAATACAAACTACATGATGATATGTCGTTGTCATGTCGTAATCGTGTCTAGTGTAAATGTGGCTTTACTGAACTAAAATCTGGTGTGTGTGGCTACCCTCCCTGTAATCTTTGTTGTATGCTAACTTCCTTAACGTAATAAAATGTAACAAACCTGCAAAATCTTTAGTAAGAAATATAATGTTATAGTTGTACTTCTGTAGAAACTACTTGAAAGCCCAGCAACAAAGCCTGAAAAAATTACAAAGAAAAAATAATCTGAAATTATAATATACATATCAAAGTAATAATATAAAGATAAATTAATTCCATAAACATCATGGCTAGTAAGCAATTAATACCATTCTAATCTTGGTTACATTAAAAGTAAAAAAAAAAAACTCTGAGCCCGAGTTTAAAAATAGCCATTGGTTATAATTGGTGGAGGTATTTTAGTAAGAATAACCTGCCTATCTCCAGTAGAATTTTTTATTTAATCCTCTCTAAATTTTACTGGCACTGCCAAAACCAGCCGTTTGTAGGAAAAATTCAAAATTGAGTTTTTTTTTTGTTTTTAGATTCTCCTTTTCTCCTTTAATTCTTCATTTTATGGAAATTGGTTGAGTATTAGCCAAGTTATGAATATTGAATTCATTGGATATCAGCCACGTAGGTTTTGAGAAAACAGCATTTACATATTCCAAAATTAATAGTTTATAATATTAAGATTCGTATTATTAAATGTTAAGACTTGTATTATTAATATTTTGCAGAAATGTTCTTCAATATATCTTCTTTTACAAAAAACAAAAACATGAAAATGTAAAAAATGTTGATTCTTGAATGTTTTGGGTGCTTTTGGGAAATTATAAATTGCGACCATAGGCAGCTTTTGCCAGAGCAAAAGCGACCCAGGAAACTCGGGACCCAGAAAGTATCAAGATGTGAATATTGGGGGCCTAGATGTAGGTTTCGACAACAGAAAAAACATTGAATAGTTCGAAGTTCAAATTTATTCACCGTTTAAAGAAAAGAAATCCATCGAGATACATTTTTATAAATTGAATAAAAGCAAACGGTAGGGAATCACCAATAAGAGCAAAGCCTGATTAGATGGCCACCCTAAGTAATAGCTATAGAGGGGGACCTTAAATTCATGTGATGAAAAAGTAGAGCCGCCATTCACAGCAATCTGGCCAACCCACACACATCTGGAAACCGTCAAGATGAAATGATAATGGTGATATGATTTTTATTATAAAGACAATAATGAAAATTACATATTTCATTAGTAACATACTGCTGCATTGTCAATTTTTCTCCTACCTGCTATTAATCCATGGATAGGGTGATCAGTTTTCCTAAACCATCTGAACGTACAACATAGAGCCTGTAAATATATAATAACTGCTATTTAAATACAAAATAAAAAGTTGAGTTGCAAACAAAATCATTAAGACTCTCAGCAAGTGCCATTGTATCTACTGGCTGATATAGTTCTTTTTTTTGGCTACTTTCTAATTGGGGACTCAATTTTTGTAAAATTTTTCAATGACTATTTGTTTGGTTTTTAGGGTCGGCTACAATAATAGTACAGAATATACTCGCATATTAAAAAAAGGGGGGGGGGCGTACAACATAGAGCCTGTAAATATATAATAACTGCTATTTAAATACAAAATAAAAAGTTGAGTTGCAAACAAAATCATTAAGACTCTCAGCAAGTGCCATTGTATCTACTGGCTGATATAGTTCTTTTTTTTGGCTACTTTCTAATTGGGGACTCAATTTTTGTAAAATTTTTCAATGACTATTTGTTTGGTTTTTAGGGTCGGCTACAATAATAGTACAGAATATACTCGCATATTAAAAAAAGGGGGGGGGGGGTTTCGTCTTATACTCATGACATACAAATTTCAGATTTTTTAATATCATGTTCATATTATGTGCGGATTATCTGTAACATGCAAATTTACTACTGCAATGAAGCTACCAAATTTTAGTATGAATGAACACAATTTCAAATACGGGCAAATAAGGTTTTGATCAACATTTTAAAAAATCATAAAATGGTAAAATTTGGAAGATTAGCCTTGCATTTGGCTCTGTTTTTAGTCAGTTAGATGCAGTATCAGAACCATAAAAGTAGAAAAAAGTAGGAATCCCGACTATGAAACGGGGGATGGGGGGGTTGAGCGTCTTATATGCCTGAAATACAAAAAACTTCCAGAAATCTTCTCAAACTCAACGCATGTATTATACGCAAATATATACGGTATGGGATAGTGGCCAGTATTATTAGACATACATTAAGCTTTGGACAATAACCCATCCACGCTTTCTGTGCTGGCTGTACATTAAAAGATTAGCTTATGATGCAATGGTATCCCATCAAGAGAGATGATAGCAAAGTGTCCACTCCCTCACCCCCCCCCCCCCCTGCAGGCCATCAACACAAAAAAACTAATGTGCAAAATAATTATGTTTATGAGCAATGATTTTTCTTAATTATGATTGCTGTTGTCATACCTTAAAAATACTGGTATACAAGCCAAGAAAAGCACCAAGATGGAAGTTGTCCCTACGATAGAGTGCCCTCAGGAGGCCCTTTGGTTTCTGCTTTAGTCTCGTTAAAGACTTCAAAATGTTGAAAACCATCTGGATGATATAGCCTATACCAAATTGTCTACAGAAGCTCTGTGAATATTAGAAATGTGAGGATATTAAATAAATGTTTAGACACCATACCCTTCATATGAGAGGCTGATTAAAAAAAAAAAGGGAAGAAGAATCGTCCAAATGCCTCAGAGGTCATTTTTAGGCATCTAGAAAACTAAAATTTCCCAGGCCCCACCTAGGGCAGTGTTGTCTATGAATCGGGGCCACCCCCCACCTGGGACATCTCCGGATCTACCCCAGCCAACACCCCCCGGCCCGATAACAAATTTGAACTTACGGCTACACAGCTGTAGAGGCAGCTACTTGTGTGGTTGCATAGTTTATGGGTGGGCTCGGCTTTTAATCTGAGAAATTAGAATAGCTTTGATGATGTATTGATTATGATTTTAATTTTTTGACACAAAATATACACATACAGTATAGTCAGAATGGCATAATGGTATGTCTAATCATTCACAGGGATGATTTTTTTTTAGAAAATACACAGTCCTTTGTCCTTTCGCTGTCCTTGTTAGCTATGTATTTTTATTTTAGGCTATCCCAACACAAATCTTCAAATCTTTTCAGGCATTTGCCTTCTTCCCTTTCTGAATTTTACGTGGTTTATGAAAACCACGTGATTAACTTTTTATTATAATTTTCCATAATTGACATTATTAAAGATTATTTGAGGAAGTAAATAAGTCTTTTTTTTAATTGAATTTAATTGAATGTTGTGGAGAATTTGCAATAATTTTCCTGAAGATAACCATCGCAAATTTTTCATATGAGCAAATATGAAGAAACCAAAATAAGTATAATCTAACAGCAAAATACGCCCGCCAATTTCAGAATGGATCGATTTTTTATACTTCTAAAGTCTATTTATGATGATTAATAGTTGAGTGGAGTTATTTTTGTAGTCATGGGAACAAGAGGCTGGGATTGGAAGACAGGCATCTATGCACCAGGCTACAGCTCCACTTACTTGGCTATTATAACTTTGACAAACTTTTGAAGGAACTTTGGCAGGTAGACTTCAACAGATTTGGAAGTTGCTGACGAACGGTTGACTTTCTCTGCGTTTCCACTTTCTTCATTACCCACAAATTTCCTATTAAAACAAATAAAAAGTTAATATCAGCCTGCTTGAAATGCCTGATTTAAAAACTGGGAATATACAGGCAGTGGTGGCCCCAGTGGGAGGGCACTTCCCCCTGTAAAACAGACCTGGGCCCCCTGTTGTCCGACACCTGGACTAATATAATTTGGCTATCCAAATAACGCTATTTTGATTGCCAATTCCTAATATTATTCTATAAAAACACAATTTGGGCTAAACTAAGCCATAGAAACTCTTATCTTCCTGTGTACCTATACCATGGATTTTTATTCCAGGACCCTGACCAAAGCTCTTATTTGGCCCCTTGGCTAGGCTCCCTTGTTGGACTTTACTATCGGATAATTTCTGTAGAAACATTAAATCCAAGAGCTTTTATGAGCAACTATAACAAATTATAATATTCAACAGAAATTAGCCTTACTTAAGCATCGAATCAATATCAGGAGCGAGCAAGTTCTTTGACCTGAAAATATAAATAAAAGTTTATGAAAATTTCAGGAATATAAATAGAATTACAGTATTAGCTCTATGATCATCATTACTGATAAACTGACAGACTCAACATTGAAGTGGCAAGCATCGGCGGTGACACGCTGCAATGTGCGACGAATCCACAACGAATTAATCATTCTGGAGTGTCAATCAAACTTAACTGACCAATCAGAACACAGCAACAATACTCAAAGGGTGTGGCTTAATGGAAAGGTCCATTCAGTGCCGTCTGCTGCTTATCAGTGGTTGTACTGGACCCTGTTGCGCACCCCTTACTTTGAACATTCCTGTCGGACCCCTGATGAAAAATTTCTGGAGTCACCTGTTACCACCCATACAATTTCACACAAATGAGGTTAAACAGGCCACGTTGCTAATCAACTACCACACAAAAATACACATTGCACTAAAAAATACTAAAGTTTGAAATTACATACACAGAATCAAACGTAAATGTATATTGCAAACTGCTCAGCATTATAGTACTTCAGATTTCGCTGGTTCCATTCACACGTCAGCCCATATCATCTTTTGTCTACTTTGTGAACTAAATATTACTGGGAAGTCCTATTATACAGAGTATTCTTAGCATACAACTGTATACAGTTAGAATAGCATATGCTATCCCATTTTCCTGTTGTGAATTGTTTGTTGTTGAAAAAAGAAAAAAAAAACAAGATGAAATACTTACTTGAAAAGAAGCATACACACAGCAGACGTTATACTGAATAACAAAACCTACAAATAAATACAAAATATCCATTTAAAGATAATATTATATTTGTTGAGCTTATACACTTGAACAAGAAAAAAAAATCAATAATTATTTGAACAAAATAATTTTTATATTGTCATAGGATACCATACCTCACCATACTTGATCCGTCTTGCATAGCCTCTTGCTACAAGCATATTAAACCAGGTTTCCACAGCCTAAAATACAACAAAATAGAAAAGAAAGTTATACACAATCTTTGATTTGACTTAATTTTATATTTCCTTTTCTACTTAACAAAAAGTGATTTGATACTGGTTTCCCTCCAATTAAAGACCACTTCTGGGACAAGGGTTTCAATGATCTTTAGCAACTTTCATCTCTAATTAGAATTATAAAAGACATTTTTTAATTCAGGCAGAACTGAAAAGTGGTCTTTATTTAGAGGTGAAGCTAGCAAGCTGAAGTACAGTAATAAGAATAGAACCTCCTCTCAGTTTGCTGAGAGGAGAGGAACAAGACGTGTTTGCAGTGATACATATTTTTTTCTTTTGTACGGTACCACTTGGTTACAGTCTCCACTCTTGAAGCCTTCTGAGGACTGGCCGAAGTTTTAGGAGCACTGTAGAGCACTTTTTAATATTTTTAGCAATCTGGTGGATTTTGTGTTTCCTTCACCGCTCTCAGGTTGCGACAATACTCCAAATGGAGGAATGCAGTTCACAAGATATTATGATCCTAGTGGTCCTGCCAGGTCACTCACCAGGGGCAGATCCAGAGATGCCCGAAAGAGGGTGCCAAAAGTGGGGCCAATCGAGACAATACTACCCTACAGTAGGTTGTCCAAGTGCTGAGGGCATTCCCCCGCTAATTTTTGGTTTTCTAGATGCCTGACAACAACCTCTGAGACATTTAGGGCGATCAATTATTTTTTTTATTTCTTTGTTCCTTAATAAAAAAATTTTTTTTAACCTTTCCAAAAAGGGAGGGGGCGTCCTGGTGCCCCTCTAAATCCACCCCTGCTAACTGCACACGTAACAGGCAGGCTCATTAATATTATCACATGATCATGTGGAACTATCACTTCATATTCAATACTGTACTTTGATTTTAATTAATTACAATCTTTCAATTTTAAACAAAAATAATAATGGTAGGACAAACTCACTATATTGGCTGTGTAGAGAGCAAGCAGACCTCTGCGATTCTGCCGTTCAATGTGTAGAGCAATAGCACATGCTGGAATGCCAGTCAACATACCAAAAGAATAGTGGTACCCACCAAAGACACGCCTACCACAAAAATATTTAATATTGGAGTTATTTAAATTTAAAACACCAAATTTTTTAGGTCTGTATGAGAGAAGTTGAATAAATAAACATAATTAAATTTTCAGTCTGTAAAAAAACACTTGTAGAGAAGTATTAAATATTCGAGTCATATAAACTTGAAACCATTTAAATTTTTAAAGGTTTGTACTGTATTAGAGTTAAGATAACATACATTTTCAGACAGTAAAAATAGTTTTGGATAAAAAATTTTGGTTAGTTAGATGCATTTGGTACAATATGAAAGTTTAGTACTGAAATGTTTACAAAGTGCGCACATTTTAAAGTGCTCATAATTTTAATCACACTATATGTTTCATAATGAATGATTTAATTGTATTTTGTACTGTTGAGTGCGCCAGTTTTTAAATGCATGAGATGTGGATAGCAATTTGTTTGGTGTCGCATTTATTTTCAAACGATGACGTATCAGATAAGAATATGATATAATATTGAATGCAGTGTATTGAAATTATCAAATGCAGATCAGAAAAAAAGCCTCTTACAAATTGTTATGAAACAGCAGAAAGATTTTTCTAAACGATAATGAATTTTAGGAAAATTATCATGTAGTTCTACTATATATGCATACACACACAACAAAACGTTTACAATATTAATACACTTGAAGGTAAATACTAATAGATATATAAATACAGTATGGCATTACTTTCATACAATGTGATTTGGTGATTTGGTGATTTGTTAGCGAGAATCACGATACATGTTATTCAGTGATCATTAGTACTTAAAATAAATGACTGAACGAACAACAATAAGAAATAAAAATATTTTAAAGCAAACAAACAAGCAAAAAGAGTTGCTGATAAAGTGTATTGAACAGTGGTGGCTATAAACATAAATTCACAGGGTTTAAGCTGTCTCACAGGGGTCTGGCAATATTGTTGGGTCAGGATCTGTGGTTGAGGTTCTGGTGAGGATCCAGTGGGGTTAATCCCCTATCATCAAGAAAATAATTACAATTTTAGGCCATATTATTTTGAGGAAAAAAAAGGTCATGCACAAAGAACTGAAGATAAAGGGCAGATCCATAGTTATGGACATACATTTCAGAGAACTTAACAAAGCCTTCAATACAGGCCAATGGGTTTGGGTAACTTTTGATATGGACATCTCAGGTACACCAACTAGTGCTATAACCATGACAACTATCAGCCCTCTATCTTTTATAATTTATGAGTAATGTTCTAAAAATAGGTGGTTATGGACGTACTGTACGCAAAAAAAATGAATTTCGAACTTATATTAAACATTTTAAAAACTCTGTGAAGTGTGAGGTTGGTGAGGTTAATTGCCATGAATATTTATTTATTCTATTTTACAATGAATAATTATGTAAAGAGCAAACAAATATTCTACTCTACCTAAAAAGACAAACATCAAAGATGAAAAGGAATGCATTGGTGGACAGAAATATTGACGAGCGAATCAGATCCGCGTAAAAAGCCTTTGTGGCAAACACCTTTTTCCATTTTCCACGCAAAATATAAGAAGTCTACAAGATAAAAGACAAAACAAATTTTGGTGATTTTTAACTAATTTAAGCATGATATTTTTGCTATAAACATTTTTAAAGCGGCTCTTATACACATCTAGATGTGTATAAGAGCCAACAATTATTTTGGATCCAGCCATTTATATCCTAGTTGATTGAAAATCACAGTATCTGTCATTATCAGCAACATAAAAAACACTCTCCTAATCTTACCACCATCTTCAAGACCTCATAATAATAAATTCATAACTTTTGGAAATCATAGTTTTAAAATTGCCTACTCTTAAAAAAAACATATTTTTTTAAAGTTTTAATCCAGTTCTAACACTTGGTTGAATGGGAAACATGAGAACAATTATGACTGGTTGAGGATACTATAGTTAATTGTACAACACAGCCTATCACAGTGATAGAGCAAAGGATGATTATATTTTTCACAAAATTAACAATAACAGACAGAAGATGTGAAGTTCAATCCACTATCACTAAGTTTTTTTTTGTGACAATTTTGTGTGATTTGCCAAGAGATGAGCAATATCTGATCATGCAGACGGGCAAATCTCATATATTTCAGCAATCCTCAACCATTTCTGATTTCAAAGCTCAACTAACTAAATACTTGATCGCAAGCTACTGATTTGTTTTCGTAATTTTTTAAAATTTTTTTTTTTCAAATTTGTGTTTTTCTGTCTATATATTCCTTGTTTTTACAAGTTTATCCTTTCTTTTTTACTATACAAACATTCTGAGTTACAGTAATTTCAAATCAGGATTTTTAATTTAGTTTACGTTTTTAGTATTGTTAGTTAAGTTTATTTTAAATCAGTTATACTTTTTTATGTTTCTCTTTACTGTAAGTTTTGATGATGGAGCAAGGGCAGTTTACTGTTTGAGCAAGTGCCTATTCCTTGCTCCTGGCAAGATAGTACTTTTACTTGGCCGAATAAATATTATTTTTATTATTATTATTATAATTATTATTATTATTATTATTATTTAATATTATTATTATTATTATTATTATCATTATAAATAAATGTCGTCTCCAAATTAAAAAAAATAGTTGATAGTATGAAAAGCGATTAGAAGCATGAGTCTTTTTTTGAAGTGAAATCAGTTATGTTACAAAGGACAATAAAAAGCATCTAGTCCGTTAAAAAAAGAAAAGATGTTTCTCATTCCATTTTTTTTTTTGGCTAAATTCTCTCTTATATTTTATGTAAAACATGAAATTCAGATCTCTTATTTTTATGGAGAAACATTTTTTTTTTTATTAATAGCTTTACATAAAATTAAAACAGCAAGCACTGAACAACTCACAAATATAACTACAAAAAGCCTATAAAACCAGAATTACCAAATTGAACAGAATAATCCGATGAAAAAAGATGCATTGAAACTGAGAAAAATCGTTGATTGGAAAACATCGTGCAGTAACTGTCGAACACACTTGGGGGTCAACTTTCCCTGTTTATGTATTACTGCTGAAATCTTTAAAGTATTAAAAGGGAAATAATGTATCCAAATATAGGAATATACATTCCAAATAATGTACAATAAGCATGTAACTAGGCTCCTAGACGTACTGTACAACTTAAGTAGAAATAGGCCCAGGCAAGGAATAGGCTCTAGGGCCTAGCATGAGGGGCTGCTGCTGTACTAGTAACAGTAGGTAGTCACAGCGGTCACAACAGCGAGGTTCACTATGCATATTTATGAGCTACATTTTTCAACCGTGGCTTATGTATTATTCATAAGTGTTTAGCGAATTGAGGGGAATGTACAATAGCTGAGAAATGGAGCACATTGCTGCCCTTACTATACTACTGTATCAATAAACTATGATATATGTCATGTACTACTGTATCAATAAACTATGATATGTCATGTATCTGTGGCCTGTCGAACCCTGGTAGTAAGCTTGGAGATTTAAGGTAATGATTCAAATAGGAATTATCTTTAGTTTCATCAACCACTGGTGTTTCCTCTTGTCAAATTTTATAGTTTATACATACAACTGTTATTGTATATACATAGTATTGTATGTATATGTATTTATTTATAACACCACAACCGTTTTCAAGATGTATTTTACTGTTTGTTGTTACAAACACACACACGCATATATATCTTCTGTTACGTTTAAATAATTATAATAATTATCATTTTATACCATATAAATATTTTCATATTATAATGTTCTTTATTATTTGCCAATTCTAAACAAGATCAAAGGCGCAACGCATGTGAAAAGCCACCGGAAAACAAATAGGTCTTATTTTATTATGTTACGATATATTGTTTTGGGTTTTTTTTATGTTCAGGTGAACTAGTATAGGTGTAGTTTAATAAAATAAAATAAACTCCAATGTCTGCGTTTACATACCATATACATATTTTCATATTATAATGTTCTTTTCATTATTTGCCAGAATAAAAAGGAAGATATCATAATGACCAGACTCACAACACCCTGCAACCCGATGGCGTAACCACTAGGGCCC